CTGATTATTTGCTCAGCTTATATATTGAACAAATATGGTGAGAGGATACAACCCTGACACACACCTTTCTTGATTTTTAAGCAGTAGTTCCTTGCTCTGTTCACACAACTGCCTCTTGATCCATGTATCAATTCCACATGAGCACAATAAGGTGTCCTGGGATTCCCGTTCTCAAAGCTTTCTAAAGTGTGCTATGATCCACACTGGTGAATATGCCTTTGCATAGTCAACAAAACACCAGCAAACCTCTTTCTGACATTCTCTGCTTTGATGTCAAGCAATGACATCCCTTGTCCCCAAAACTTTTCTTTATCCAGTGTATATCACTGTCAGCTCCCTGTCAATGCACTGCGGCAACTATTGCTGGATGATCTTTAGCAAAATTTTACTTGCATGTGATATCAATGATATTGTTCTATAATTTGCACATTCTGTTGGATCATCTTTCTTGGGTGCAGATACACATCTTATTCATAAATTATTGTGTTTATCTGTTCATATCTGTCAGAAAATGCTGGCTTTCATCCATTTCTGCTCATCCGCTGCACCCATCTCTGCACAGCGTAGAGGAGTGCCAGGCATTGCCTGAGACAACGGTCAGTGATGTCAGATGACATGGAGAGAAAGAAGGCACTTTTGTGGAAGGTTGGGGGCAAAGTGAAAAAAGAGGGAGAGAGTGCTTTTGCGAGAAGATGGGGTTATCCTAGGGCGCTCTGGTTTAATCTGTAGAGCCACATGCATATGTATGGAGAGGCCTGAGCTTAGCACAGACTGGAAGAAGTTGTAAGTTTCCCCAGAGAGCTGATTCCTAGGCTCAGTAGAAGACAGGTTCATTGTTGAAGGCATTCCCCAGCTCAGAGGCAATCTGCAAAGACTGCAAGAGGACTAATTATTTTAGTTCCTATTGGTTTGTTGTTGTTGCTTGTTTCTTTTTCCGCTTTAACTCTTGATGTAGTAAACAATTGTTTTGGAAAAGGGAGCTAGTGTAGAAAGGTTAATGGTACTTCTGAGAAATAAGCTTGGCAATGCTGCACAGCCCCAAATCCACTCATTGGGCATCCACCCTAGGGCATGGTTTGAAGAGCTTGGTCCTGGTCTCTTCATATTTTACCCGAGGAAGGGGAGGGACATCAGATGAAAGTGTCCCTAGGAGTCAGAGAACAAGAGAAGGGAAAAGAGCCCTTTCACTCTGAGGATAGAGAGCGCCATCCCCTTGCTGCATGCCTCTGCTGATCCGGTTGGAATAATCAGCTTTGTGTCGCCACATGACTGAGAGGCAGAAACTCGACCATCCACCAAAACCAGTGACAAGATAGCTGTCGCAGTGCATGATCGCAGAAGATACTGTCTTCGTTTTAATATAAGATATATCAAATGTTCACACATGAATAGGGAAGGACACCAACATATGCAGCTGTAATAAGACTTTTTCCCAAGTTAAAAAAATTGGGGCGATCCAATGCTACATAAATGCAAATATCTGCCTGTTGCAAGTATACTTTTTGATTAAATTGGCATGCATCAAGTACAATTAGAAAGGTTATTTATAACAAAGAAATACATAATTCTCCATCTTAATAGGGAAGACAATTACAGCTGACGGATGCTAATTAGCATTACTACTTTTGCTCTGGGTGTCAGCTATTTCCGGCCTGAACTTTCTTGTTGGCGATGGACACACCAAATTATGGAAGGCACAAAAGGGTTAATGATCAGTGACATTCGTGCTCCTCCCTAATTCACTTGACAATCGCATGGCTATCTACTCAGTTCTTGCTTCACAGGTCAGGTGGAAGTGCAAGCTCTGAGTCAGTCGCACGGCTGGCAGGCAAGGGCTTTCTCCATCCTTTCAGAGCCAAGGCTCACAGTGCTACCCAGGTGCCAGTACATAAGGGAGAAAGGCCTCCTGTCCTCTTTCTGGGGGAGTGGTTGGTGGGATGTTACCTATTGCGTTCAGCCACCCGGTCCTGCTGACCACAGCACTTCCTCTGGAGCAGCTCAGAGTTGTGTGATAAGCGCTGGGCCAGACAGGGAACCGAGAGCAGGGAGCACTCCAGCTCTCAGCCCAGGAAGCTATCATGGCCGCCTCACTTGTGCTGTAAACTACATGTTTACTTTGTTAGTCTGAGATAGATGAATATTTCTACATACAAAGGTGCCCAGCTAAACCTAGGATAAGTGATATTAATGTCCTATGGTCAGTATTATTGAACCTCGCAAGCAATAAACTTTATGAGTCGATAAATATTACATTTGCAACATAGTTAACATTCCTTTACTGTCTCCAGCACTTATGACACATTGTAACCGCAAGTCTACAATACATTATTCATATTTGGGGTGTCACCAAGTGATGGATTGCTGTAGGAGAGGCTGTCCTTTAAATAAATCAACAAATAAAAATGCAAATGTTAACATTTTCAGCCACAACTTTTCCCATCTTGTATGGGGAATGAAAAGTCCACGTGACCCTGACACCCAGCAGAGGGAACAAGGAACAACCTGCGAGGTGAGTGAGCAAGAGGGCTTGGCCCTGCCCAGTCCTATCACCACACGCCTGTGGGAGGCTACCGAACTCTTCAGGTATTGGTAGTTTTTTCCTCGCTGCAGAGAACAAAAAAAACCCTGTCCCCACAAAGCATTGCTGAGTCCCCACCCTCTTCCTGAGTCTTGGGACTTCCCGTGGGACCCCGCAGTGAAAGGGGAGGTGCTCTGGTCCCTCTTGGTGCCTTCAGCAGTTTGTAGAGATGGCGAACAGACCTCTTCTCGAGTTGAGAGTTTTCGAGGAACTGAAAAGTAGTCTATGAAAAATGACTTTTCTACACTTTGAAATGAAAAGAATTCAGATCATCCTGCTTCGGAAATCTGGAACGCAACCAATGCGCCTTCCCACTAACTGATTTTCATAGTCCTGGGCCTTCCTTCCAACTCTGCATTTTGCCGACCAGCTGGCTAAGCTGCCACTGTGCATTTCTGAGGCCACAGCCGATGCGCTGTGCCCTGCTCTATTTAGCCGAGTGCTCATTACTCTAGAAGCTCCTGATCATCTCACTTAGCTGATCTGCAGTCCCGGGTCTCAGCGGTAAACAGTCCTCGTTGTTTGTAAGGCCCATAAACAAGAATCTCCACAGCAGTTTGAGCCTGGGCTTGTAGAACTCACCAAGTTGATACGGTCTATTCAGAAAACGTGTGCGGCGGATCTTCTACAAAGCCCTTACTAGGAAAACATTTTATTCTTTTTTACGCTTATCTGTAAACTGAAATGCAACTATCAAAAACACATTAAGATAGTGTTGAAATTTTCATTTTAATCTTCCACAATAGGGAAATGCACGGTTATGACTGAAAATCCCATTTATCTCCTCTCAATGAATGCCTCAAGGTGAGCTGGGATGGGCCCTCTTGGGGTACGCGTGGCTAACCACTCCACCCCCTGCCCCAGAGCTCTTTAGAAACACTACTCATAGTGGGACACTGGGGAAATGCCGCCACTCATCATAACATTTTACAAAATAAAATGATCAAAAAGGAGCATTGGCGGAAGAACGAGGTAACTCAGTTAATATTTCTTTTGAATGCGAATGACCTTGGACATGGGGAAGATCTCACCGGTCACCTAGTATGATAGGTAAGACACTTGGCATGTAAAACACAAACTCAAATCACTCCATATACTTGAGACTTTGTTTCCTACATTTTAAAATGAGGTGACGGTAGTACCACCTCATAGGGCTGTGACACACAATGGCTCAGCACAGTGCTAGGCAAACAGTGCTAGGCACCCCCCCCCCAAAAAAAAAAAAACAAACCCACTGCCATCACAGTGATTCTAGCTCACAGGGACCCTGCAGGACAGAACCTCTCTGCCTCACTGGGTTTTCGAAGCCGTAGCTGGGCACATCGTAGATGCTTACTAGATGGCCGCCATTACTATTATCCTCTGTGATAGGACCAGTTTCCCCTCTCAGATCCAGAATTAAAGGCACACAATGAAGAGCCACAGCTAGAAAGAACACTGGCTTTAGGGATGCCTGGGGCTGGCTTCTGCGGCTCAGTCTTCTGAGGTGGAGGCGGGGTTCATTTTCCCTGCTTCTGAAGCTATCCCAGGTTCAAAGAAGAAAGGCTAACATACATCATTAAAATCATCAGACTTGAGATGAGCACTTTAGACATTGTTCATTTGCAAAGCCAGTCATTGGATAAGATGCTAAGTGGTCAAAATTAATTATGCCCCCAAGGGACAATAAACCAAACCCTTTGGGTATTGCTGTTCAAATGTATATATGGGCATTAACGTACTAGATATGAGAAAGCTTAAGTAATATAGTTCTTTCCCTGACTCCAGAAGAGGCTGATTAAATGGTTAACCTCTCAGATGTCTCTGATGTAACAAAATGCTGACAGTCTTTTAACTGCTACACAAGATTGACTATAATTCCTGAGATCAATTAGTTTAGTTAGTTAAACTTGGGGTCCAAGTATATAAGCATTCTATAAAATATTGGGAAGGGCCTAGAAGATTTTTGAAGGCTAAGAGGATTTTCTGATGAAAGACAAAAATTTGTTCATTTCCACGGGAATCTTTGTCACTTGCCATGAACAACTCAGAACAACTTATGTATAGATGTGAGGCACCCTGGTGGCATAGTGGGTTACACATTGGGCTGTTAACCACAGGGTCAGCAGTTCAAACCTACCAGCCACTCTTTGGGGGGAAAATGAGGCTTTCCACTCCCTTAAAGATTTGCTGGTGAAATCCACAGCTCTACTCTATCATATGGTCTCTGTGAGTCAGAATAGACTCGATGGCCATGAGTTAATGTATAAAGAAAAGGGCTCTATGTAGTTCAATCTGGTCACATCAACATGCTTCAAAGAAAGTCCTCTCTCTTGAATAGGGCTATTAGGAAGTCTCAAGATTTTCCCCTATGCTTAATAAATAAACCTCAGAAAAGGATCTCATCTGAAGAATGTGAAACCAAGGAGTTCATGAGGCTTACCGGGAGGTGTCTGGTTGGAATGACGATGTGCTCACAGTTCCAAGTGCCTTTTGGCCTCCTGTTGGTATAGGCGATGTGGATGCATCTTTTCTAATTCCTGCCATTGTGCCTGTATGAACCATAAAAAGGGAATACTTTTGGCAACCAATAAAAGAAAATGAAAAACTATTCTATTCTAGGATTACTAGTGATTATAGGAACCCCAAACTTCAAAGGCAAGCTGAGGTAGTTTATTGTGCCACCCTGGCCGATAAACACATGGGGTTAATTGAAGGGCAGAGGGATAAATGGCGCGGGGTAGGGGTGGGGGGCCCTCGCCTCTCTAGTTCTCGGGTCTCTTGCTTTCTGATGGTTGCACCAGGGTGCAGCTGCCTTAGCCAGTTCCCTGCTTCAGCTGGCAAGGCTCACTTC